TTGGATCTCACCACGTCAATATGTTTCTTAGCGTCGCCATGACGAACGAAGACACGTGCCTAGATGGTTTCACAACAAGTAACAATGAGAATAATAATGATAAGACGTATGCACTGGTTGATAGCTTGAAAAAGAGCATGTTAAACATTTCTTATAACCTTAGTAACTCTCTAAATATGCTTCAAAAGTAACCATGGACTAAACATTCTCTGGAAGCTTCTGATGTAGACGTTGAGTTCATGAATCGGATCTCAGAGTATGACAAGAGTTTCCTTCAGGCTGAGAGACCAAATTCAATATCACAGTGACAAAAGATGGTACCGGAAACTTTAAGACCATTAGTTCCGTCATCTCGGCCGCTCTAACTCGGGCAAAACCAGGTACATAATTTKGAAATCAACGTAGTAATTAAAGTATCAACGTTAACATTTGAATTCTTTTATGCGTTCTTTACAAATATTGGTATACTAATTTTGTTTTGTTTAGTACTATTTGATAGTAAATGGTGGTGTTGGATTGGATAATTGATTTTTACCAATCATATAATTATTTTGACACACTTTTTATTTTTATCATTTAATTGCTATTTTCGTGAGTAATAACTTAAATGATAAAATTTAAAAAATGAATTGCATTATTCTATATACGCCAAGTTATTTACAAGTTATGATATTAGTTACCAAATTTTGGGTATAAGTTTATGATTTATAGAATAAGGTGGGGAATAATACCATTCTACGTCATTTTCCAAGTTATTTATAGGTCTGAATATTAGTTAACAAATTATGGGGAAAACGATATATTTCCCCATGAAAAGTATGATATCCACCTATATACTGCCCAAGCTATAACCTCTGTCTATATGTCTCCAACAATAAATTTATCTGTCTATATGTCTCTAACAATAAATTTCTCTATCTATATACCCACCAAATCTGATTTTAATCTGTTTCAATGTAAACCCGATACCAAACCAAGAAAACCGAAATTTGAACCAAACTAAAACCCCACCCGTTTAATCGCAAAAACCCGAGACCATACTCTCTGATAATTTCTTCTTTCGTCCGATTCCTGAAGAGTTAGGTCAATGCAAATCATTAAACAAGATCAGAATCATGACGAATCTACTTAACGGGACGATTCCAAGAGGTTTATTCAATCTTCCGTTAGTTACGATTATCGAACTCACTGATAATTTCTTCTCCGGTGAACTTCCGGCGGAAATGTCCTGTGATGTTCTTGATCAGATTTACTTCTCGAACAACTGGTTTTCCGACGAGATCCCACCAGCGATCGGGAATTTCCCGAGATTACAGACTTTGTTCTTAGATCGAAACCGATTTCGCGGCAAGATTCTGAGAGAAATCTTCGATTTGAAGCATTTGACGAAGATCAACATAAAGTGCGAACAACATCACCGGGGAGATTCTATATTTAATCTCAACCTGTACTTCGTTAATCTCCGTTGATCTAAGCCGTAACCGTTTAAACGGAGAAATCCCTAAGGAGATCAACGACGTGATTAACTTGGGTACTTCAAATCTTTCCGGTAATCAACTAACCGGAACAATCCCTACCGGAATCGGAAACATGACGAGTTTAACAACACTAGATCTCTCTTTCAACGATCTCACCGGAAGAGTACCATTCGGTGGTCAATTCATGGTGTTTAACGACACTTCTTTCGCCGGACATCCTTACCTCTGTTTACCTCACCGCGTCTCATGTTCAATCCGGCCCGGTCACACCTCCGATCGTAACCACACGGCGTTGTTCACACCGTCGAGGATCGTAATCACGATTATAAGAAATGATTTATAATTTATATGTTAAAACTGGTATTTTGGATCTTAATCGAGTCATAACCCGGTTTACTGTAAACTCAATCGGTTAACATTTGATTAGAAAATAGTAAACCGTCATTAACCGATTAAAATCAG